AAAAATAGTCATGATTTCCTCTTTGTAAGTCTTCTTCTGGAACCATGGTGTGTGCACACAATTTTTTGGGTTCCTGTGATCAAGGGCTTCAGCAGCTCTGTGTTGCTCTCCCTCAGGAGATTCGCTAAAGATCAGGCTTCATTCAAACAGGCCAAGCTCACACAGCCTGCGCAACCTACACCAGGGAAGCTGAGAGACATGACTCTGAAAACTTTCTGCCATGAGGATAAGTTTCCAGGTTCAAATACACATGAGCTACTGAAATGAGGAAATATATACCAATAGAAAATGAGCAAATTCATGAAAAACTGTCCCTGAGTGTGGGGGTGATTTTTGGTTAACTAGCATACATAATATTTTTTATTTGATGCATAATCATTCAGACAGACAAAATATTGGCAAAAGATACAAATTTGGCCAGGCACAGTGGCTCGTGCTCGTAATCCTAGCACTTTGGGAGGCCAAGGTGGGTGGATCATGAGGTCAAGAGATCAAGACCATTCCGGCCCAACAACAATCACATCTCTACTAAAACTACAAAAATTAGCTGGATGTGGTGGCATGCATCTGTAGACCCAGCTACTCAGGAAGATAAGGCAGGAGAATCACTTGAACCCGGGAGGTGGAGGTGGCAGTGAGCAGAGATCATATCATTGCACACCTGTATGGTGACAGAGTGAGACTCTGTCTCAAAAACAAAAAAACAAAAAAAGAAATCACAAATTCATATCAGTCACATTAAATCTAACTAATCAGCTGTCAACATAAAGATTCTAGAAAGTAAAGAACATAGAAATAAGTTGAAAGGCTTCCCATATTCATGGATAGGAAGACTAAACCTAACTAACACACAATACTACACACATGATCTACAGACTAACAACAACTGCTACCAAACTGGCAATAGCCATCTGTGCAGAAATGGAAAAGATAATCCTAAGATTTTAATGAACTTTTATGTGCCTCAAATAGCCATGACAACATTGAAAAAGAATAGTGTTGGAAGATGCACATTCATGAGATTGAAATCTAAAAATAAAAATAAAAAAAAAAAACAGAAAAATTCAGACAGCATGCTTCTACTGTGGGGGGCACCCATAAGTATCACAAATATAGAATCGAGAGCACAGAATTAAATGCATACATCCAGAGTCAGCTGATCTTTAACAAAGGTGCCAAGAATACACAATGGGGAAAGGAAAACGACTTCCACAAATGATGGTAAAACTGCATATTCTCATTCACATGAAGAAATGGAATACTGACAGTGTGCTCAAGGCTGTGTTTCTCCCTCCATTTCTAAGACACTGGAGCTTTTCAGTGAGCCCACAGTGAATTTTCATTCTGTCCTCCATGCCCAAGGAGATGTCTTGATACCAGAGGTAAACAGCAAGGACAGAAAAATGAATGTGCTGCCATGAAACCTATGTTCATAAGGTGTGGATCAATCTCTCCTATGCATCTGGGCACACCGCAGAAGAGTTTTATATTCAGGATTAAGTAACTGCCTGTGACAGAACTGTGTCCCAAACCAAAGGCTCTGATATTTTGCAGTGGCACAGGCAGAAAAGAGCAGGTATTCTCTGAAAAATCATCTTTAAATAATAAACCAAGAACAGGTGATTGAAAACACAGGATACTCAAAAGCCCATGAACATACTACTCCTCACCATGATGACGTTAAACTCTGAAAATAACAAACGCGGCTTATATTAACTTTTTCTTTTTCTCTTTCTACTCCCTCCCTAAGCCTCCCAAGCAGAAGGTATAACATGAAGGTTCTTGGAAATGCTGTTTTATTAGAGCCCATCTGAAGTCTTGTTGCCTACCTGGAAAGGCATCCTCTTCCCTGCTGAGATTTTCCAGAATCCACTCTCTAGAACCATCAACATCAGGATAAGTCAGTGAGAGGTGCACTCACTTCTCCTCCCGGTGAAGACTCACTGGCTCACACAAAATCTCCTGGTTGGTCCTCTGGGTTCACACACATTAATACAGCCGCTCTGGTCATAGCTATACACTTGCAAAATCATTTTCTCTCACCAGACCCCCGACATTTTTTAACAGGAATCCAGATTAAGGTTTCTATATATTCAAGCCAGCAAATTTGTTTCTCAGAAAGTGATTTGGTTCAAGGTATGTACCCAGGACATGCGGTGGTAAAATCTGCAATGAGACAGAAGAAGATGCTATGAGGATCAGATCAATTCTGCCGCCCCCTTACACAGATCTGTTAGTCTCTTGATGACTTCAGAAAACTACTTTTGAAACAGTGGTTAAGTCCATGTCAAAGACAAAACACTCTAGCATAGAGGACATGCATGGAAAAGACAAGAGCTTTTCCCACAGAATTTCTTTGAAGTTGATTTAGATTGGTAAACTCACAATGCCTAATTCGAAGAGGAAAACTGGTGTGGAGGAAAATGCCTCTGCTATACAGTTGATGATGGATACTGTCATTCAAAAGCATCCTACCATGTCACATATTAGATGGGAAGACATTCCCAGTGAACTCCACCCCAAGAAGGACTATTGTGTATGTCATACATAATGTGTCCTGTCATATTTTATACCAAAATTAATTGAGAAGGAAAGAAATCAGCTGAAGGAAATAGTGTATACAGTGGTCCATTTTTAAGACAAAGTGCCTTGAAGTTGTTTAGCTCAGCAAAGGACACAAGAAATACTAGGCTCGTGGTTGGATGGGCAATGCCGGCTTTTTGGGTCCCCCTTCCACCTCGCTTAGTTGTCCTCACTTTAACAAAGAAGTATAGGCTAAATTAAAAATTTACTAGCATGCAAAACAGCTTGCTTGGTCTGTTCTTATCAGCCTGCCCAGCTACTTAGGTAGTAAGTCAAATACTTGAAGAGCCCCTGAGCTGACTAGGATGGCAATGCATTGTGGGCTTCCACAAAATGCAGTAAGACAACCATAAATATATATATTTATAGATATATATTTCTATTTATAGATATATCTTGCAAGACCATCATTAAAATTCTTACTTTCTCTGTTCTGTAGGCCTCTGAGTCCATTCTTTGGGTGTAGTTGGGTGAGTTTGTTTCTCACATTAGGAAAGCAGCATTTCCTTAGAATGCAAAGAAATGGGGTCTTACCTGGGCATCATCATTATCTTCCTCACTTGGTGGCAGAGATTTTAAACTCAGGTGGCCATCAGGGGGGACTAAAAGGACAGAGTTAATGTCAGTGCCCTGGTGGTTGGAGACTGTGAGTCCCTCAGGGAGCTTTGCTGGATGCGGCATATGGAGCGTGGGACTGAAGATTGTGAGACCATCTCAGAGAAAC